TAGATGTACTTGAGGGATACAATGGTACAATATTTGCTTACGGGCAAACATCGTCTGGAAAGACACACACTATGGAAGTAAGAAATCTTAAAGTAATTTTGCTTCTAATGTCACTGTCATCTCTTTTCATCACAATAGTCTTATCTTTCTAGAAATAAGATGTCTGCTTGTTTTCGTCTTGCAATTTTAATTTTCTTTCCATTGCAACATTTTTATACCCAAAATGTTTTTTTTAGAACTGAGAATGGCAATTACTGTATTTTTTCTCATTCTGCCTTCAGTAGCAGGATGAGAAACACAAGAATAATGTTAATATACATTTTTGCTTTTAGTAGTTTGGGAGATTTCTGAGATTTGTTCTTTTCACTCCTGGCAAATGCTGGGCCTAAATGGATGGTCAAGACTTTCCTTTCTATATAAAATAAGTGCATTGTACCTGTCAACATTTTAAAACGAATTTGACTGTTAACTGTTTGTTTTGCCTTTGGATACTGTTTGTGATGTTGGATTCAGTATGAATGTTTCATTTTATTGTATCTTTTTCTAATAAGGGGAAGCTTCATGACCCGGATGGAATGGGTATTATTCCAAGAATAGTGCAAGATATTTTTAATTACATTTACTCTATGGATGAGAATCTTGAGTTTCATATTAAGGTAAACTTTTCTTCATTGTTACTTATTTAATCTATATTAAAACTGGAAGTAGTCTATGGTTAAATGGATGTTCTGTATCTGTTTCAAATGCCTGTAACTTGGAAAATCTAAATGTGAGTTATTTCTGAAGTAACTGACTCTTCTTAAAGAAGAATTACGTTAACACTTTAATCTTGTTTCCATTAAACATTGATGGTAGCTATCCTGATAACCTATGGCTTGAAGCTTTTGATCAAAATAGTTTCTGCTTTAAGGTGTATTTTAGTTCACCCTTAAGGACTTGAGCTAGATGTGGTATTATGTGGGAGGTCATAATAATCATGCTGGATCCTTCTGATCAAAAAGCAAAGCATTTTTGCTTTCTGATGCTGTATCTTTATTCCCCTTCCCACTTCTAGGTGTCATATTTTGAAATATACTTGGATAAAATAAGGGACCTTTTGGATGGTAAGCCTTTTATTTATATTGAACATAAAAAATAAATTGTTCTGGAGAGAGAGATTAAAAAAAAAAACCTCAAAACCCTTTTTATGATACTAAGATAGGTATGGAGTATGCTAATAACCTGTAAATGATAAGGGTACATCAAAATAAGAAAGCATGGAGCTAATCTATATAATAATACTAAAGCTGCAGTAGTGATGTTTCATGTATATTAAGTTTTTTAAAAAGTGTTGCTGAGAAATAACATCAATGACTCAGACATGCGTTGTACACAGCTCATTCATTTTGCAAAGAAATCATATATACCTTAGCTTTGGAACTTTTTCTCTTCCAGTTTCAAAGACCAATCTTTCGGTACATGAGGACAAAAATAGAGTTCCCTATGTAAAGGTGAGCATCAATCTGATATGTTTTAATCTTTCACTCCTTTAGTGTACACAATTTACTTCTGGCTTGTTGGTGTGGTGGGTTTTTGCCTTTTTTTTTTTTTTTCCAAAGGGTTGCACAGAGCGTTTTGTATGTAGTCCAGAAGAAGTTATGGATACTATAGATGAAGGAAAATCAAACCGACATGTAGCAGTTACAAGTAAGTGTTGTATTTTGTCTCCTTTTAGTGCTTTATTGACTGGTATGCCTTAAAAAGTAGGGAAGACAAAAATAATGAGCTAAATAATTCAGGTTTTTGAAAGAGTCTAGCATAAGCAGTTTCAACATGTCTTTCAGAAACAAGTATTTCAATTAATTTCTTGTTAGATGTTGTTACTTAGACTTGGATTGAAAGGAGAGAGTAAGTGGTCAGTGAAAAGCTCTGAATCATTGAGAAAAAGGTGTAGTTCTGCATTAGGAATTGTGCAAAATCCCAGTTTGTGGCATTTGTTTCAATTAACGTATGAATCTTTAAGGTGCTGTGGCCTGTCTATAGTTCGGCCATTCTGTTGTGAATTCTAAGAAAAGCTTATATATTCAGACATGCTGCAGATTTAAGCATCATCCCAACGTCCCATGCTTTTTGGCCTGTGGCATGCAACAGAGTTGAAAGGAGCCATGTCATAGGTCACCGAATTCCCACAAGAAGCAGGACTAGGAAGTGGCAGGACTACTTAAAGAAAAGAAAAAAAAAAAAAAAAAAAAGATGAGGTGCATGCAAAATAATACTTCAGTTCTTAGCGACTGAAGTGACTGTCAGAAATCTTTGAGAGCCAGTTTGAGGGTGAGTTTCACAATCTTCCTGTGTCTAGTTCTTTATTCAGGAAAAGAGAGAATATACACTCATTAAGAAAATGAAAGATTTTTCTTCTCATTTCTTTGGTTAAGGATCAAAAATTAAAATATGATGTTCCTTTTAAGGAATGACTCAGTCCTGCATTTCAGCTTCGTTGCTCCTAGGTAGTAAGGTTCTGAAGTGAAGACCAGACTAAGTAATGGAGAAATAGCAAAAATTTGGATAGAAAGATATTATTCTATGTTAAGCTGCTTCTGTGGCATCAATAAGCTGGTCCTTTTAGGCCTCTGAGGGATTTATGGTTAAAAGGAAGAAGAAATAGGCAGATGTTCTCATTCAGATTGCAGTCAGCTTAAGTTTCGTTAATGAACTAAAATAGTTCTTTAAATTCAGTAAGTCTTGTTTACTCTGCGTGTTTCACAGCAGAGGGAACAGTAGGTATTTAAACCAGAAAGGGATGAAAGGTTATGGCCATCTAGTTCAAATTTTCACAAAAGGATAAAATGTGATACATTGTAAATCTACCAAAAAAAAAAAAAAAAAAAAAGAATATGTTCTGGTATCAGAATGTAAATGTGCTTTCTGTTCTAATAAGGTAAATTAAATGTGTGAAATCTATAGTTGACAGGCTAGCAAATCTTATCAGTGAGCTTATGTGGTATTAATAGAAGCCCAAGGGAGACTGGATCTTTGTTACTCAATTAGACGATACTATTGATTTTGCTGCCTCTAATTTTATTGTCATTGAGAGATTACTCTGTACAGTTTCATTGGGTTTAGATCTGTCGCTTCACTGTGGGAAGATACCATTTTGTTAAGTTAGTTTGGTTGTACAAATATTTTTGACAATTTATATATTTTGGATTATAGATATGAATGAACACAGCTCCCGAAGTCATAGTATTTTCCTTATTAATGTAAAACAAGAGAATACTCAAACAGAACAGAAACTAAGTGGAAAACTTTACCTTGTGGACTTGGCAGGTAGTGAAAAGGTAATTCTAAATTTCTTTTTCTGCTCTGAAGAATGCCAGTTATTCTTTGCAATCAAATATTTTACATTAATGTAATACTGATTGTTCAGTTGTCATCTCTGAAGTGTTTTAATTTTGACTTTGAAATCTGGTTTCTGAATCCTAGTCTAGGTTGGCTATTAGGTACTACCTCTTTAAGCTGATCTGCATTTCTGCAGTAAGGATTTGTAAATGTGGAATAGGGTGAGGAAACAGGCTAGAGTTCCATCTTGGTATCTGTAAGAGCAAGAAAGTGTGCAGGTGTGTTGGGTAGCCAGGTACTGGAATAAAGAGTTTTATGGATGTGAAATATCTGACTTTTCTTATTTAGTAGTACCAAGTTTCTTAATTTGAAATTCTGATTAACATTGTTTAAAATGACAGCTTGCTTTCCTGTGTCAGTGGCTTAAAGCAGGAAAGGAAATATGTACCATTTTGCTTATTCTCTATCAGTTATAGACCGTAATTTAGCCTTTTAAGAGCTGGATTTGCATTCTTTTAATCTTTGCTTCTGGGGTATTCCCCATCTTTTTCAGTCCTTTCTGCTTGCTGTTTTCGTTCCTCATGTCCTTGTTCTATGGCCTCATTGTTGTCTCTGATCCTGTGTTTATTCTGCAATGTGTTTCTTAGTAGTGGTCTTTTTTTTTTTTTTTTTTTTTTAATGAGAATGAAACGAAGCATTAAAGTGAGAACAAAGTTAAAGAAAAAGGCTGGGTTGCAGGTCTCCTTTATCTGTAGTTTTGTTCCTTTCACTGTTTATTTCAAACTTTGCTTTCGCGCTTCTCCCAGTCTCTGAAGTACGCAAGGTTTTTTGATGCCTTGTCTTGGGTTGGTTTAAACATAGGCAAATAGAATTGCTTAGTTGTAGTCATGATCACAGCTTGGTGAGAATAGTAAAGGGAGGGTTATAGAATTATAAATCAAATTCACCCCTTGAGGCAGAAGAGCTAAGGTAAATAGAATGGTGTCAGGGTAGAATTTTTTTCACTTTTCTGCTGATATCTACTTAAGTTCCTAGAGCACTCATTCAGCCTCTAAAATCTGTTCTCACAAATTCTTGCTAATATAGACTCTTTGCTGTATTTTCCGGGGGGGTGTGGTGGGGGAGAGTAGTAGTGTGTGGCTTGTTTGGGGTTTGATTGGTTTTGTGTTGTCGTGGGGTTTTCTTTGTTTTTTGGTTGGTTTTATGTTTGTTTGTTCATTTGTTTTATTGTTGTTTTTTGTTTTAAGGATGACCTCTGGACAAACTATATAGACCTTCTCATTAAGACAAAGTTCTAACTCTTGGTTGCTTTCATATTGTAAATTATTCATAACGCTTATTTCCTTTTACTTTAAGGAATTCAAACTTTTTGACAAACTTCACACAACTTTGTTTATCTGATAGAAATTTTTAACCATATATTTGTCTTCTATGAAAAGGCGTACTTTGCAGGGAAAATATTCACTTCAATTTAAAAAATCAGAAACATCTTCAAACACTGAGTTTTGAATGAAAAATTGATGGTGAATCAGGGAAGGAGTCTGAGGAGGAGTTTGCTTATTCTAATCCAACTTGCTTATGAGTACCTCATAAAGTCAGGGAGACTGACTGAAAAGTGGAAAAATCACTCAAGTTTTATACTAAATGTGGAAGGTGTTTTTTGAAGATGCATTTAGTAATTTACCGAAATATTGTATAGGTTAGTAAAACTGGAGCAGAAGGTGCTGTGCTGGATGAGGCTAAGAACATCAACAAGTCTTTATCTGCTCTTGGAAACGTCATCTCAGCTTTGGCTGAAAGCAGTGTAAGTGTTCTCTTTTGTATTTTCATACTACAAGGTTAAAGGCTTGCATCTCTGAACGTGATATTATGCAGAAATTCTTTACTGATCTTGGTGATATGCATGGAGTCTTTTAAACTAATCCAATGCATCAATGGATTGCAAACAGCTGTTATTGTTGTACTGTATTGACACTGATGATTAATAAAGTTACAGTTAATGTTGAGGGACCTAAGCATCATACGGACAGTTTTCTTGTACTCTAGAAGTTACCAAACATAGAAGTACAATTTTATGTCATCCCATATGTGTTCAGTCTCATGTTTTATGAATTAAAGTAGAATTTAATGTCTTTCTAATGAAGTTATACCTAGCAAAAACATAGCTCTTATTTCAACAAATTCAGTAATGTGTCTGAAAAACTGTGACTGATTCATTTAACCATTTTCTTGGTAGACTTATGTTCCATATCGTGATAGCAAAATGACCAGAATCCTTCAAGATTCACTAGGGGGTAATTGCAGAACCACTATTGTTATTTGCTGTTCTCCGTCTTCATACAATGAATCTGAAACTAAATCTACTCTTCTGTTTGGCCAAAGGTGAGTACATTACTTAATGTTTTTCTCTTGCTATGGTTGGAAATAAGTGCAGAACGAGAAATAAGTAAGTTACTCCATTAAGATTCCTGAACCAAACTAATTAGAATGTTTACTTTCTGTAATTCTTCAGTGCACACTTGTCTAAGTGCTGTGATCTATCTTATCTACATAAAAATCCTTAAACTTGGCAGGATCCTGAAGACTCGGTATTTCCAGGAAGACAGCGTATAGTTAGGTTCAAAATGCAGTTTAATATATAGTCTTGGAGGGTAATTAATACTCTTTCTTTTTTTTTTCTTTCTTTTTTTTTTTTTTAAGTGGAAGGAGGGAGGAATAAGTTTTCCCCTATTAAGCTGAATCCTTTTTGTGCTGGGAGAGCCTGTCCTCTGCCAGCTTTTCTTTGACAGCGTGCTGAATTATATCTTCTGGTCTGTTTCCTGTATCTAGCATTCCAGTAACATTTGAATTAATACTTCTAAATTCCTGTGTCATTTGTAATTGAATTTATAAGTACCCATTTCAAATTTGGTATTTTGTTACATATCTCTTCTTTGCCACTCTGTTATTAATGCTTCATTGTAATACTCCAGTTCCTGACCACTGGATTTAATCACTTCATTTACTGGAGCACATTACAAAAGCTGTCAGCATTTCGCTTAGTTCATCTGGTCTTTTATGTTAGCGTACCTCTTCCACTTTAGTTCAGCAAGATAGTTTTCTACTGGTCTTTTCAGAGAAGATTTTTATTATGGAAAGTAGACCATAGATGACTTAAGAACTTCTTAAAAACCTGGCAGAATATGGGTAGTTAGTGGGTATGGAGTAATGACTGCATTCTGCAATAGTGGAGTTTTTTTGGTCTCCTTTTAGAATCTAGGAGGTCCTTTCTATTCCTCTTAGTATTTCTTGAATGAGCTATTGGGAAGTGTCTTCCGGCTATAGCTCTGTAGTTTCACTGCCTCATGCTGTTGACTTCTTCGGGAGTTAATAGAGTACACTTCTCTCTTAGCTACCGTAGTTAGTCTGGTATGTTAATTCAACCTTTTAGAGGTGTTAAATTTATGCTGAAACCCGCAGCTGTAGTAGAATCATAGATTCATTAAGGTTGGAAAAGACCTCTAAGATCATCGAGTCCAACCATCAACCCAACACCACCACGCCCACTAAACCATGTCCCTAAGCGCCTCATCTACACGTCTTTTAAATACTTCCAGGGATGGTGACTCAACCACTTCCCTGGGCAGCCTGTTCCAAGGCCTGACTACTCTTTCAGTAAAGAAGTTTTTCCTAATGTCCAGTCTAAACCTCCCTTGGCGCAACTTGAGGCCATTTCCTCTCGTCCTGTCGCTAGTTACTTGGGAGAAGAGACCAACCCCCACCTCGCTACAACCTCCTTTCAGGTAGTTGTAGAGGGCGATGAGGTCTCCCCTCAGCCTCCTCTTCTCCGTGCTAAACATCCCAGTTCCCTCAGCCGCTCCTCATAAGACTTGTGCTCCAGACCCTTCACCAGCTTCGTTGCCCTTCTCTGGACACGCTCCAGCACCTCAATGTCCTTCTTGTAGTGAGGGGCCCAAAACTGAACACAGGATTCGAGGTGCGGCCTCACCAGGGCCGAGTACAGGGGCACGATCACCTCCCTACTCCTGCTGGCCACACTATTTCTGATACAGTCCAGGAACTGTAGTGACTGAAGACTAGATAAATATCACATAACTTAGTAGGAAATCATGAGCCTTTTGGTAGTAATCAGTTCCAGTACGACTTTACAGAAGGATGCTTATAGGAGTCATAATATGGGGGGAGAAATTTCTAATTACCATTAAGCTTTTTTCCTGTTTTTATGTTTTGGAGGGGGAAGGTATTTGGTAGTAGACTATACAGAAGAATTACTGAGGTCAGTGAGCTATGGCACTAAAGTGAAAACTATACATTAACTTCGTGACATGAAGATATATTATTAGGGCCTGTAGTTTCGTATCCAAAGCTAATGTGTTCAGATGAGATTCGCCTGACTGAAAGTAGACAATCAATCTGAACTTTATAGCTTGTATACCTTTTTGGTTAATGGAGAACCAACAACTGGATTTTTAGGTTGAAATGGGCTGTTTCTTAAGTAAGCTTGATGGTTTACACCCTCAAAGTATTATGCTCTCCGTTGGAGAAATGTTTGCTAGGTGTGATGAATGCTATCCTTTGTTCAAAGCTGTGCACTGTCCTGACTCGAATTCTTTCAAGGGAGAGTATGCAGCTGAATTTTTCTAACTAAATCAGCTTGAGATTTCTTAGCCTTCACAAAGTTTATTGTATTGCTCTGTCCATTAACAGTTGTATCAATCCAATTGAAAGAACAGTAAGTTGGCAGGGAGCAGAAGTAAGCTTTTGGAAGGGGTGGGAATTGTGTACGTTTTCACCCGTGATAATGTAGAAATTTTATTTAAGAGCCTTTAATTCTTTTCTTTAAAAAAGAAAAGTTCTAGAGCTTTTTGCTCTTTCTATGTAGAGCAAAGACCATTAAGAACACAGTCTGCGTCAACGTGGAGCTCACTGCAGAACAATGGAAGAAAAAGTATGAGAAGGAAAAAGAGAAAAACAAGACTCTGCGTAACACCATACAGTGGCTAGAAAATGAACTCAACAGATGGCGGAATGGTAAGAGGCGATTATATTTTTGTTCTGCAAACTTTAGGCAAGACGGTGGACACTGAATTAGTATTCAGGATTCCAAAAATAAATAAGAGCACTATGCAAGACAGTAGTACGAATATTAAAGCTAGGATAATAAGTTGACATTGGAACTTCATATTTTTCACTGTATTGCAATCGGAACAACTTCCAATAATCACATAATGGCAAAAATGTCTGGAAGTATATTGGTATTAGGGTCTTCAACACTTAGTTTATTGCAGAACTAGAGTTACATACATTCTAAAAACTTTATTTTGGGGAAGGAAAAAAGATATTAATGTAAATGCAGAAACTGAGTAAAATTTCCCTTTGGTTTGGTTTTCTAATTGAAATCAATATCACAAGATCTTATCTTCATTTAAAACTCAAACGTGTTAATAGACAAAAAACCCCACCCAGAACCCAAAATTGCTGACAGTACGGAATGTGTGCCCATCTTTTTTTCCTGAATAATCGACGACTTATCTATTGAAGTGACTGACAAAATGCAAGTTAAATATAAAGCCTTAAATTCAGGAAAGGAGGAACATAGGTCATACTTACAGATGTATTCTGGAGTTTGGCAGCTACGGAAGACGATTTTGCAATCTTGTAGACAACTGCACACATCCTGGTGGAAATCTGAGAAAAATGGGCTCACTTAAGTACGTTTAGTGCGGTGTGTGGTTTTTTTTGGGTTTTGGTTGGTTTTTTTTGTTTGGTTGTTTTTTGTTAAATCTTTTATAGAGACGGTATGAGGCTGCACCTGAAACGTTAAGTATAGTTCTTCCAGAATATTGACACAAGATAGGAGAGTGTTGGAAAGAGCCCATACCATCCAAGGACTGCATAAAATGTATTGTAATAAGGTCCTAAGGAATTTAGTTTACCAGAGAAGTGCCTGATTAGCGTGTGTGGTATTTTTTCTGTGTGAAGTTAGTAAAGTGTTCTCATCAGAAAAGGTTTAATGAACATAAAAGCATAAAAGTGTAACTGAACAAATATTTTAAATTAGAAGCAATGCAATTTAAAAGTAAATATGGCTACGCAGCAAAACAGACTGCCAAGGGAAAAGGAAGTATTTTCTGTGTTCAGGGCAAGTTAGGTGCCTTTTTAGAAGATACAGTTTGATGTGAGATTTGGAGCTCATAGCAGAGTTAACTGGGTGAAATACAATGTTCTGTGGTAAGCAGGAGATAGTTTGGATGATCTTTTTTACCATGTAATCATGTGAACTTGATTGCTTATTACCCGTGGAGCAGTACTGTTAGTAGGCAGTATGTAATACTTCTCAAGGCTAAGTTTGTGGAAGGTACTTCATGGCTGACTGTACTAAAACTAAGTATATTCTTTTCTTTAAGGGGAGACTGTACCAGTTGATGAACAGTTTGACAAGGAGAAGGCCAACTTAGAAGCTTTTGCAGTGGACAAGGATATTACTGTTATTAATGATAAACCAGCTACCACAATTGGAGTAACTGGCAATTTCACTGATACTGAGAGAAGAAAATGTGAGGAAGAAATTGCCAAACTATACAAACAACTGGATGACAAGGTATGCCATTCTTATTTAATGTAAGATCTCTTGGAAATGTTTCTTGAACTACATCATGTAATATTTAATTTGCCAGTCTTCATTTGTTAGTACTGCTTGCGTAAATATTTGCTGGGAGTGCCTACTCTAATTCTGAAGGTCTGATAAAGAGAAATCAGAATTGCCTTATCTAGTACTATGTGAGCATCCTTTCTTAGTTGCTCTCCCTCCTTTGCTGAAACTCCTAAAAATTGTCCTGAAAACTAAAGTTATCAGTACATAGAAAACAAGATAAAAATGAAAGTTAGGAAGGAAAAGTTAATGAGAATCCTGAACAGTATTTCTACTTTCTGGGTGTAGGACATTCCTAGCTGATTGTTTGGAATAATACTGTACCAGAAGAAGGAAAATAATGAGAAAGCAGGAAAATTAGTAATTTGAAGACAGCAGTTTTTTCCTTCCACGTTATGCATATTTTATTTGAATATAATTTTAAATTTAAGCAGTAGCACTACATTTGGAGAGAAAAAAAAAAATCTTAATTGTTTCTTGGAAGTTAGAACAACTTGGAGAAGACTTGCAAAAGCACAGGTATAAGAGTTTTTTGTCTTTGAAGCACGGTGTTTTACACATATGTGCCAGGTTAAGAGCCTAATGGATCAGCCAGTGAAATCAAAAGGATTTTTTTTTTACTTTTATTACTTTCAGTTGTATAATTGTCTCAGAATATGGAAAAGTTAGATGCCTAACATCTACTGTCTCTTAGATTATTTTTCCTGAGTGGTATTTGTCAGTTTATTGAACACAGTCTTACTTCAACTGCAGGATGAAGAAATTAATCAGCAGAGCCAACTAGTAGAAAAACTGAAAACACAGATGTTGGATCAGGAAGAGGTGAGTTTTGCTCTTGCATCTTTATTCTATTTTTGTTTGTCTTTCTTTTAAAGAAATTTGAGATGTTCTGAATAGGTCATAGTTTATGACCAGGGAGTAGAATGGCAGCTTACTACTGTATAATAGTTCTCTTTTATTCCTTATCTAAGTGCTCTGCCTATTCATTCCCCCGCACTTACACTGCGGTAATGGCTAAACTTAAACCAATTTACTTGGACCTTAAGTATCCATGAAGATTGAAGGAATTGAAATATTTTATGCAAAGACATCGGCAATTGTATTCCCCATGCAAAGTTAGCAGTTTGTCAAAAGATACCTTGCTTTACTGTAAGAAACCGGTTTCAAGGTTTACTTTTAGTCAGTTGCTGTACAGAGAAAGAAGGGGGAGGAGGGAAATGTAATGGCCCATAATAAAAAAGGAAGTATGTGTTACTTCAGACCATACTTGCTAGAATATTCAAACGATTTATATGCACATGTTGCCAGTGATGTAACTTAATTAAATGGGGAAAATACCTATCAATAATGAAATTGTTAATTTCATTTAGCTGGGATATTAGAGAAAATAATTCTATATAGCACAAAAATTAAAAAATAATAATCTTTGTGTACATGGCAAGAAGGAAATGGGTCAAGGACTCAGGAAGTTGGAGCTACTGTTTAATCTTATTTAAATAAATAAATCTGCCTCTTTAGCAACTGCTCACTTTGTCTAGTTATTCTTCAGCAGCTAACAGTGTTAAAATGCTGGAAGTTTAGTCCCTAGCCTGTTGACAATTTCAGACTCATGAGTAGTGTTCAGTGGCTTTTTTGAAAACTTGCAATATTCCGTGTGCATTTCCAGTTGCTGTCCTTATGTGTCTTGATTTGTAATCACTTCCATTTTGAAAATACCTTAAAAGCTAAAGAACTATGGATATAGATGATAAATTTAATTGTTCATTTTACTCTCACTGTACCTGTCCTCAGCATCTTTAGTGCATGATGCTAGACACTAAAAATGTAGATATAAGCTATTGTAGTAGCTAAAGGCTTTAATAAGATTCAATTTATACATGGAATTTTCTTGATGATTATTTGTTGTTGTAATTTTAAATAAATCTCTATCAATGTTGCAGCTCCTAGCATCAACTAGACGGGACCAGGACAACCTGCAAGCAGAGTTGAATCGCCTTCAGGCTGAAAACGATGCCTCTAAAGAAGAAGTAAAAGAGGTGCTACAAGCCCTTGAAGAATTAGCTGTCAATTATGATCAGAAGTCTCAGGAAGTAGAAGATAAGGCAAAGGAATACGAACTGCTTAGTGATGAACTCAATCAAAAATCGGTATGAAATTGGGATAAGAAATTACTGATAGTCTTCAATGTAACTTTTCTTGCCTTACCTGTATTTCTTGCTTGAAGTCATTTAAAGGTTTTTCACAAGGGAAAATGAAAGCTTAAGTCTCAAACTTTTTTAGTTTTAGCAAAAGATGATTTTCTAAAACCAGTAAGCTTCAGAAGAATGCACAGTGAATATTGACCTTGATAGCTCTCATCTTTTTAGTACCTATTGCATTTTACTACCTGAAGAGTATTCAGAGAAATCCTAGATATCAGAAGTTAACACTTTCATGACATCCTGGTAATCTGACTCAGTTTTGTTTGTCTTTCTGGTGCAGTTGGGGTAATCCTCACTTAAGAATCTGCTCCTTCCAATCTTGAAATTGCAGTGAGCATGCTACAGCTTTTCTTGAAAGGAATGTGTATTTGTATGCTGTATTTATGGCACATAAAATATAATTTACCTTGATGCCTTCAAAAATAGGCAGTTGATTTTACGTTCTGAAAGGAGTAGTCCTGAACACTGAGGACATATTCCAAAAGATCGCCCTGGTTAAAATACAGATGCAGCATCAGTCCCACAGGATGAATACCATATGCCTCCTCACATACCTGCATAGTTTCTGAATTGACTGACAATTTTGGTAGCTAATTATTTGGCAGAATTGGATCAGTTTTAAACTGTTAATACTCTACCCACTATCCTAAAATTCTAAGTACTGGAAAGGATCAGCTTGTTTGCTGGCATTGCAGCCAGAACATGTGATGGTGCAAGTCTCATTCTTTTCTGTTCTTGAAGATAAAAATTGAGTGGGTCTGGGTCTTCTAGTGAATGTGGCTTTCAATTATCAGTTAGTAAGATTTTACTAGATAGAACACTGGCATTAAAATTGATGTTCACAAGATCATGAAACCTCTCTTTAAACTTCTAAGTATTCTGAGCTGAGTAATCTTTATTGGTAACTTACATTGGCTGAAAGTCAAATGATCTCTGGTCTTCCTATTATGAGCAGTATTTAGAATTTGGTGGAATAGGTTAGCTGTATGTGTGTATGATTCTGAAGTGTGTGGTTTGGTTTTTTGGGTTTTTTTGTTTGCTTTGTTGTTGTTCTTAATTAGTTTTTAGATAATCAAGTGATTCTAGATATTATAACTAACGTCCATTGAGTGTCATGAATAACTCAATCCACGAGAAAGCAACATCTGTTCTGAGATGTAGTAAAATTAAGACATTTCAGTGTTCTCAGTCTGTCACAGCTAACCCATGCAGTAACCATCCTTTGGCATCACTGGCTGAAACTTCCCTGCTGTAAAACTTCTGGCATTTTTTAGAACTGGAGAACAAAGAGTAGATAACTTCTGAGTATGCAAGCTGCTGAGCTGCAGCCATTACAACCACAGCAGCTCAAACTAGCTGAAAAACTGCTCTAGATTAAGTGTAGTGCTTATGAACTCTTGGAACTGGGTGCCATTTTTTGATTTGCAAGTAGGAAAGAGTTAACAGCTCTGCAAGTAAAGAAATTGTTTTCCTTTACCAAAATACAGTGAGAAGTGTTCGACTTGTGGTCCATGTACCTTTTTCCTGTGCAATCCTCTGCAATATTTAACCATATATAACTCTGAACGTTGTTTAACAATGTTGATGTGAATTTTGTTGCAGAGTTGTAAGACTATATTTTGTGAGCTGAAGGCCTCTGTCCCCAGTACTTTCCATTTTTTTTCAGAAGAAATACTGCCACTCTAGGACTTTTAAATTTTTACTATGTGGTGTGTTCACATAGGTTGATACCAATCTGGTTTTAGACATAAAAATGAAACATTTCAGTAGGCAACCATATGTTGCTGTGTTTAAATAAATAAAATGAAAGTAGCTCTAGAAACAAGAGTGTGTTTTGTTTATTAAAGTGTAACTTCTTTTACTGTAGGTAACTCTAGCCAGTATAGATGCGGAGCTTCAGAAACTTAAGGAAATGACCAACCATCAGAAGAAACGTGCAACGGAGATGATGGCCTCCTTACTAAAAGATCTTGCAGAGATAGGAATCGCGGTAGGAAATAATGATGTCAAGGTGAGAATTAGTGTGATTTTTAATGCTGGGTATTATGCACATACATTGTGGATAGGTGGGGTCAGTTTTCTTACTAGGGTAAAAATAACCACCATAGGAAGCCTCATGCATATTAATAATTTGGGCATAAGCTTATCCCTTGCTTATGCTGTGACTTACCAGGTCCCAAACAATTTGATTATGCAAAGACAAGGACGAGCAGGTGTGATTTTTTTTTTTTTTTTTTTTTTTTTTTTTGGGCCTTTCTGAAGTAGTGTTTTAATTCATGCTGTTAAACTGCCATATGAAATGGTCATAATCAACAGCATTGTTGTGGAAATCTAATGCTGACCTACAGTGGCAATCAAGATGTCACTTACTAAAAATGGAATGAGGAACTGAAATAAAAGATAAATCTAGAAGATCACTGTAGGACAAGAATGTAAGCAGTGTTAGAAATCTATAGTGAACTGTATTTCCCTCTTCAAGCGACTCGTTACCTTTCTGCAAATTTCCAAATAATCAATCAGAAAACTTAAAAGTTAAATTTTGGTGTGTAAGTGCTCTGATTATCAGTCGAGGTGGGGGGCATGTGCTGGGCACTAAGTTGCTCCAGCTTATCTTTAATTCTGTTTCGTTATCTGAGCTTTCTAAATGTGTTGTTCCACACTTTTCAGCAGCCTGAGGGAACTGGCATGATAGATGAAGAATTCACAGTCGCGAGACTATACATTAGTAAAATGAAATCAGAAGTAAAAACAATGGTGAAACGTTGCAAACAGTTAGAAGGCACACAAGCAGAAAGCAATAAGAAAATGGAAGAAAATGAGAAGGAGTTGGCTGCCTGCCAGCTCCGTATCTCACAGGTAAATGTTTCTTTACACTGTACTACTTAAATGTTCTTTTGAATTCGTTAACCTGCTGGGGGAAAAAAGTTGCAATTTCTTCTGGACACCTAACAAAGTACATTGTGATCAAACAACCATGCGACTCAGCTGTATTCTCAATACTCTTTTCAGTTTGGATGCTTCTGAGTAATTGTGTGACAGGATGTCAGAATTTCTGCAATATGTCTGTAGCCTGATAATGCTTCTGTAGCATTTGTATTAAATACTAGGGTCCATATGTTCTCCATCACAGGATCCCTTACAAATACAAGTCTTAAAGAAGCAGTGGCTGGTGAGCACTCTGCCTACTAATGCAGCAAGTTGGAAGTGGGAGAGGTAGCAATAACACAGTAAGATTACAGTAGGCTTGCATAGCAGGTTAAATTTACTTCTAATGTGAGAAAGGCCATTTTAGTGCAATTGTTAGAAAAGATCAGTAATGTGACTTCTAAAACTCTGAAAATTGTGATCTACATAAGCAATTTAATTTTTCTGTATTTTGTTTTAAATCCAGATGGTCATCTTTTTTTAAATCGGGAGATGCGTATTTCAGTGCAGTCTTCTAAATACAGTGGGACTCTTTTGCCTCTGATAGTATTTAACATTTAAAACATCTCTTCTCCCAGCCAAAAATGTGTTTCATTCCAATCCAGAATAAAGACATTGTCTTACAGGCTGCATTACAGATCTACTTGAGTAGTCATATTCTTCTTAGAGTTTAGTTGGCACCTTTTTTTTTTTTTTTTTTGAGATCAGGTTACTTGTTTAAGTATAAACTGTTTATGCAGATGTAATTCTGTGATACCTAGTTCCAAAATAAATGAATCTTTCTATTCTACAAGCATGAAGCCAAGATCAAGTCATTGACTGAATATCTTCAGAATGTGGAACAGAAAAAAAGGCAACTGGAAGAGTCTGTGGATTCCCTTAATGAAGAATTAGTTCAACTCCGAGCACAGGGTAGGAATTGCCTCCCTACACCCCACCCACTGCCACCACCATTTTAAGTATATAGTGATAAATAGGAAATTGTTCTGTTTTATTTAGATTGAAGTGCAGAGCTATAGAATGGCTTTTTGCTACTGAACAGATAGAATTAGTCAACGGGAAAGCATGTCTGCTGTTTGAAAGAACTGCTGTGGATAGGATTAAATTAAAGATGTTACTGATTTAATTGATCTTTGTGGTGAGAGGGGACTTCATCCAAATTTTAAGGTGTTGGGGAGGGAAGGGGGAATTAACACCATCTTCCCTGTGATCACCTAGTTACCTGGCTGAAATGTGTTTTCTTTTCTCTCTTCTGTCCCTACTAGAAAAAGTCCATGAGATGGAGAAAGAGCACTTAAATAAGGTTCAAACTGCAAATGAAGTCAAGGTAAGTTAATTTCACTGTTTTTTTTAAAAACAGTGAAGAATGGCAACTTCGTGAATACATACTATTTTTTCCTAATAGCAAGCAGTGGAACAGCAAATTCAGAGTCATCGTGAGACGCATCAGAAACAAATCAGTAGCCTAAGAGATGAAGTTGATGCAAAGGAGAAACTTATCACTGAACTTCAAGAGTAAGTAATTGTCATTATTTTATTAGTGCCAAATGTCTCTGGACTGTGTGAGTACAGAAGCACAGTATGGTGGGAAGGAAGCGGCAAGGGTTTCCTCAAGCAGTGTCTTTCTAACTCATGTTACTTTACTGAATGTCGTGTCTGACAGGTTCAGTTGATGTAATATTTACTTTCTGTGTTCAGCCAAAACCAGAAGATGATGCTTGAACAGGAACGTCTTAGAGTTGAGCATGAGAAGTTAAAAGCAACTGATCAGGAAAAAAGTAGAAAACTGCATGAACTTACGTAAGTGATAATCGTGCATAAAACAAATGTGTGTGGGAACACTTACATTTTAAAAACTAGTGACCTAATATGATGACGTGGCTCTCACTGTATGATATGCTTATTAAAGAGAGAGGCTCCAGCGCTTTCTTGAACTTAACTTCTAAAAAACCATTGCACTGCCTTAATATTTAAAATTGGAAGTAAAATGATGAAAGATGTGGCGGCCACAACTTTTTCTTTGTTAATATCCTATAGGTGGGAGTAATTAACTTTTCAATTTGCAGCTAAGTATTATGTGCTGTAAGATTGGAAGAGGCTTGTAACAGTTCCCTTACTCTTTTTGGTTCTTGTGTGATTTAACTAGTTAGGTGGCTCTAGCTGGTTTATTCTTGAGATTAAACAGCTGCATGCTTCATTGAGTAACTAAATACAGTGTTTTAGTGAATTAGAGACTGAAAAGTTAATGCAAAAATTAGAATTGAATTCTGCTTGCAGGTAAGTATCCAAGGGTCAAGCTGAGAAATAGTTCTCAACTTCTAGAAATCTGACCATAATCTCCTGGAAATGTTTCTAGAGTATCAGTAGCGACCCCTTTCTGGCATATATGACTTTATCTTCTCAGAAGTTAAAACTACATTATACTTAAAACTTTTTCAAAAGTGCATGCTTTTTCGCCATGTTTAAAAACACACAGTGGCTTTCAGGTTTTTATCATAGAATTTGAAATAATCAGAGGGACCTGATTGGCCTATACTAACCAATACGCAACACTTACTTTTTTTTTTTTCTTTTAGCCTTACTGTGAAATACAGTGTTGGTTTAACTGACTAAAATTTAACAGTACTCTGGTCTTGTGAATCCATCTTCTTCTCATTTATGTATATGCCACAATGATTACAAAAGTTGCATTAGCTACAATAGGTTTTCTTGTCTTGTAGGATTTGATATACATACTACATTATTGCTTCTTATTTCAGTTCGCAGGCTAAACTATATATAGCATTGATCCCTTAAAGGCACTTGCTATATTAGAAACTTTCCTTTTCAAAAGACTTGCAAAGAAACATTAAAAATTAGTTTGGTATTCTGTGTCTTCCCCCAGCCTCTTTGAACCCAGTTATTTTCCATTGTATGTCATAAATGTGCATGGCAAATGACAGGCCAGAAACAATGGAGATTATTCACTTTTTTTTGTTTGTTTGGTTTTTTTTACTTAGAATTCTATAAGATGTCTGGAACTTCTTTTCCAGTGAGGTCTGGAAGATGGATAGGATGCTGAGATATTCTTTAGAATATTTTATTACCTCAAATGTTTAATCATTTAGCTGTGAACTAGTATGGAACTGGCCGAGTGAGAAGAAATTTCAAGAGGAGAAGAAACTTTTTGGCTACTTCATAGGAACACTTCCTTTTCATGCAGTCCTTGGCCTTCCTATTCCAACCTTGAGTCATAAAAAGAAAAAAGGCTAAATTCCCTTCCTGTATCATATCATCTTAGTAATTGCACTGCCTTATAATTATGAGAGATAACATTAGCAGTGCACGTTATGCTTTCACGTTAAATAGGAAGACAGAATCTCTGTAAAGTTGATAGTCATTAGGTTATATTCCTGTAAACTGAGATTGTTGTTTATGATGCTAGCAAATGATTCTACACATGTTATGATGCAACACATTTGGCAAATGTGTTGGGAGTGAGGTGGTAGAACAAAACAAAGAAAAAATCATTAATCTGACATGTGATACTTGTCATCTCAGCTGGTCAGAGCTAAGAACATTTGTAGGATAAGATCTCCCCAAATATTCATCCTGAACCTGACTCTGAGAGTCTTTCTTTAGGGACATGGTTTAGTGGTGGAGATAGCAGTGCTAGGTTAACAGTTGAACTTGATGATCTTAAGGGTTTTTTCCAACCTAAACTATTCTATGATTGTATTCTATATGTGCATCTGAATGTACTTGTTTGTATTCCTTCAATATTAAAAGTACTTCCCTCTGTTCCTCCTGCAACTCCCCCACTCCCACCCCACCCCATACGGATTTCTGACTGTGATGTCATCTGTTGGTTACATCCTTAATTGAGGACTTCAACTGAAAAACTTTTTTCATTTGTACCATATAGTGTTTATCACTCTTGTCTCTTAAAACATTATCATTTCCAATTTTGCTTGGATGTTTCAGGATGAATTTATTCTCTTTTAGGGTTATGCAGGACAGACGGGAACAAGCAAGGCAAGATTTAAAGGGTTTGGAAGAGACTGTGGTAAGATAGTCAGAATATGTTCCAAAGTAAATGTCAGTACTTGCCCCCACCCCCTTCAGAGTTATTTTTTTAAATTTTTTTTTTAGTCTTTAATTCCTTGTTCTTAACTGTAGGCAAAAGAACTTCAGACTCTTCACAATCTTCGGAAGCTGTTTGTTCAAGATCTGGCTACTAGAGTGAAAAAGGTAACATGGTGCTGTAGTGAAACTTGGTGTTTCTGACAATGCTGCATAAATTTCAGTTCAAAACTAAATTAGGAATTGATCTTTATGTGGTGTAATTTTTCTGGCTTGATCTTAATGTGCAAGTTCAGATTTGTACTCAGCCTCCTCTCTCCCTCCCCATGCCTTTGTTACTGCAGAGTGCTGAAATTGACTCAGATGATACAGGAGGCAGTGCTGCACAAAAACAGAAGATTTCCTTCCTTGAGAATAATCTTGAGCAGCTTACAAAGGTTCACAAGCAGGTACAATGAGGCTTAATTTCAAGTTTTAATACTTAAGGTGCTTTATTGTAGAAGTGACATCAATCTGGGGGATGCTTGCCTGTCTCTCTCTGACTGAAAAAGAATGTAGACTTTAAGTGCCTATGTTGGGTAGCATGTTCTTCCACAGTAACTGATTTTCAAATTACAATCTTACTGATGAACTATTAGATTTACTAAAAGCTTAAGGAAAGATAATACAGTAGCCTTACTGCTTTGCCTGTTTAGGGGTGGGAGGGTGTTTGGTTGGCTCTTCCTATGAAGAGAGGTACCAAGAAAATAATTGATTCTGTTTTTGTAGCTGGTACGTGATAATGCAGATCTTCGCTGTGAACTTCCTAAACTGGAGAAGCGACTTAGAGCTACAGCTGAAAGAGTTAAAGCTTTGGAGTCTGCACTGAAGGAAGCCAAAGAGAATGCTTCTCGTGATCGGAAACGGTATCAGCAAGAAGTAGATCGTATAAAGGAAGCTGTAAGATCCAAGAATATGGCCAGAAGAGGACATTCTGCGCAAATTGGTTAGTAAAGAATCCCTTGCCCTTTAAAGCTTCATCTGTTTCCTGATTTTTTTTTGATCTTTGTGCATGTATGCATCTTTCAACCCTAGTTGGAACTGCATGCGTGAACATGGTGTATTTTCTACCATGAGTTATATTGTGGTTAATAGACTGTAAGCGTGTGTGGGTGATGGTGTATGGTTGGTTGGGGGTTTTTTATTTATTTATTTTAAACTGGTCTCTTCCTGGTAGCTGGATTTTTGTACATGCTGAGAAAGGCTTACCAACCTAGAATTCTAGCACTGAATGTAAGTCTTAGGTCTTTAATATGATGCCATAAGAATTTTCAAGACTAAGTAGATATTCCAAAGTAAGGACAGAGATTAATTCATCACCTTCAACAACAACAACAAAATTGTCTTGCTGTCTCTTGATCTTGTGGGAGGGGGGCACAGAAATCCACAACTATCATCCCAAGATCCCTAATTGCCTTTTCGGCTCTTTGTTCCAAAACATAGAGTACTCCATAGCCCTCCCTAGGGGAAAAGAATGGAAAAAGCAGAAATCTGTAGTAGCTAGTAGTGTTTCTTACTGTGTGGTTGGAAGCAGTCATATTCCTTTGTTCCTCCACCTACCGTTATGCTGTAAAGTGCTGAGGGCCAAGAGAGTGTGTGACCTGTGGAGGACTTAACTGTGCCTATTACATTATTGTTGTAGAAGTAACTATGTGTTCCGGCCTTTTTGTTGTCCTGTGTCAGGACTTCAGTAATCAATACACTTCTCTTGAATGCTAATGCAACTGAAATGAGCATTGCAGTTAAACTTTGCTCATATTCTGTAGGTCTGCAAAGAGCTGTTGCAGAATAAAGTTACAATTTTTTTCTTGACCGCTTCAAGTGGCAGCTTGAAGGCAGGTGCTTTCCTGTCTTATCTTTCTCTCAACTGATCTCCAAGAAGACAAAAGAATTCTCTAGTGAGCTTACCACAAGTATAAAGCCTCTTGTATTTAAATGTCTAGTTGAACTAGGCATGTCTTACTGGAGATCAGCTTCCTATAAGGCAGAAATTGAGAAGTGTTTCTCTGACGCAGTTGCTACCTGTAGGTACTTCATATTCACTCTTAACCTGCTGAAACTTTAAATGCTTCGGTTTAATATTTACAGAACTTTGTAAAGTTGTACTGTTGTGCATGTCCTGTTAAGAGCTAGTGCAAAACTGATTGAAAATACAGTTTGTTTATCAGAGTGTATGCAGCTTGTAAATTACCTGTCAAAACTACTGTTTTTGAATTCAGTAATATAGCAAGTTTTGTTCTTATATGGTGCTAAGAAGTTGATGAAGCAGTGTTATCTGTGGAGTAATCGGTACGCAGAACCACTTGCAGAGCAGAGTAACCAGTGGCTTATCAATCAAGTAGATGTGGGAAATACAGCAGAGTATAATGATTCCTTACAGGAACATAACCCTCATGAAAATTTGTCTAGTGATGCATCTTAAGTTGAGTTCTTATTGCCAAGAAACAGGACTCTTACAGGGAAATACATTAGGTGGGGCAGATAATACATGTGAAGATAATCATTATCAAAAGCTTTGCTAGCTTTAATTCTAATAGGGACAATAAAAGCAAAACCTTGTCTATTTTTCAGGGCTTGTTATAGTTGATACTAATGTGTTAGGTTCTCAGAATATCATCTCCTAAACTTGTTTTCTTACTCAAAGTGCATTCAATTTTGATTATTACATTTGGGATACTGTATTCAAATTTACTAATGCTTTACTTTAATCAAAGGTAATATTGTGATGTATATATTTAAGTCATGTTTCTTTTCATGCAGCTAAGCCTATCCGTCCTGGCCAGCATCCAGCAGCTTCTCCAACTCATCCAAGTGCAATTCGTGGTGGAGGTGCATTCACTCAAAACAGCCAGCCAGTTGCACTGCGTGGAGGTGGAGGGCGGCAAGACAAAGTGTAAGTTTCTCTTGTAGGATTTTTAAATGTGTGATTAAACCTCTTCGTATTAGTTTTATTACAATTCATTCTGTGGCATAAAATCACTGGAATAATCAGATTAACTTATTTTTTTACAGAATTTTATAGTTAGAAGAAGAGTATACATGTACATCTGACTAATGCTGTTGCTGCTTTTGTTATAAAACTGGTGTTTGTTGTAAAATGGCTGGATCTGTTCTGCTGGACTGGAACAAAATGTGAAAACAGTCAATTGGAGATAGTTACCAGTCACAGCCAATAGCTACTGTTTGGGAAAGGAGTGGACAGTTTAATTTCTTTTGGCTTGCTAGTATCTTTTTAAATATGGTTTTCTTCAGAAAACATTCAGCGATGAAATAAAAAATGACCCTATTATATGTTGTTTATTTGCTGTTCTTACTACAATTGCATACTGCTTCATGTGTAAGTAATTTGGAAGTATTTAACAGAAAAGTTCATGTCTTCATCTGGTAAATTTAAAATGTTAGCCTAATTAAAATACAGTTACAGTAATTGAAATTAATACATGCACTTTTATTTGAAAATGTCTCTAATCTCCTAAGTAATTATTCGTAGTCTGGTACTTAATATGCTTAAGTTGCTCACAGAATCATGTCTCTCTTTGATTAACGTCTGCATTATAGTTGGTCTTTTGGTCACCTAAGAATAATGTTTGGCTGTGTTCTCTGTCGTCGTCTTTTGAGAGTTTGTATAAATGTCTTCTAGGCCTTCCCTTAGTTAAGGTTATCTGCATGTTCAGTCTTAAAATACTCCTAAAATGATTGTGTGGTGCTTGAATCCTGGGTGCTTCTCTTTTGAAGGGTTCCAGAGCAGCTTACGTTAATCTTGTTTCCATTTGTTTGTTTCTTTTTATTAGCTAACTGACTTTTCAAAGCTTTCTCTCCAATTTAGAGAAATTCAGACTGTAGTACTAGTCAGGGTACCTGGTCACGTTCAGTAGTGTCTCTTAATAAGTAAGAGGTTGAAGTGTACTTTAACCTTGAATAACATTTACCTTGAATGATGAAGGAGCTGGCAATTCATGGATTCTTGATTACGTTGGTAGGGTGAAATTATCTTCAGATAGATTGCCTTTGTAGTCCAGGTAGCTATCTCTGCTGTCCAATGCAGAGACATTTCAAGGTATGATTGACCCAATTTATTTTAGATGCCTGCTTTAGCATGGGTTTGCGCATGCTCTGATGTTGCCTAGAGTTCTAACTGAAGAGAGCCTATTTAGTCTCATACTTCTTTAAGAGTCTTGTAACAGTTGATAGAATCAGCAATAACTAACTAAATTTTGAGCTTGCATTTTGCTTTGGAGAAGAGCTTTCACTGTTGGTCCTGGGGAATTTAAATAGGAGACTTAGCACTTTGACTTTTGGACTATTTGTAGATAAATCATGAAGGAGTGAAAAATTGCTAAGTATTGGCTAGGACCCCTTTTTAACAAACAAACCAAAAAACTCTCACGTAATATGCTTCCAGAATCCCTTAAGCAGTTGTAAAGCTTTCATATAATTCCTCTAACGTCAGCATGTTACCTATTGCTGTAGAACCAAGCAGAGTTTAGCACTTAAAAGCAGGAGAGTGGTCGTAATTTATTCCAACTTTCCTATCTTGTTTTTGGAAGAACCTGTCCATTATGGAAGTAAAGGAACAAAACTTTCTTGAACTTTATTTTACTATTAAATATAAATTTGTTCCGAGCTTCTGAATACTCAGCCAGTGTCATTTTTCCCTGTAGGAATGTCTGTTATACTTTTTTTGAGGATTAATACAGATACTAAGCGTCTGAACTTCTGGTTAGAGAAGAACTTTTGGTACAGTAGGAACATGATGTACTGTTTTACTTTTGGAGATCACCATTTAACAAATTATTCTGGAAACGTTAAAGAAATACAGAGATTGCAAATTGTTATTTCCCTATGCAAATAAAACTTTTTTTTTAGGATGATTAATGCCAAATGATCCCTTCATTCCCATTTCATCTTCCCAAAATAGCAAAGTCAAAACTTTGCAGCAGCTGGTAGGTGGTATCCAGACAGTTCTCACTGGCCTGGAAAAATAGCAACAGTCATGAGAAATGGAGCTGGGTTATAATTGGTTTGCGTTTGTAATGTTTACTTCGTTAAGGCAATCAAGGTTGGATACTCAGTTTATCGTGCTGTAAATTTGTTGGTAACAGACAGCATCTTAAATGCTTTGCATTGCATAATTTCTTATTCTAAAGCAGATGTTTTATTAGCACTTACCTGAGTAGTCTAAGAATTGGGCTCTTAAAGGCTATGTAAATAGTGGATACGGTCTACTGTAAATGTAAATAACTTGGCTTTTTTGGCTTATGAGGTACAAGCACTTAACTCTCTTATTTTTCTCATTTACAGTTGCTGAAAAGTAAATGCAGCGTGAGAAGGATTGGATATTGTGTAGAGGGAGTCATTCCATGACAATAATCTCTCCCTTTGGGGACTGTAGGATTATTTTTTGAAAATGTATAAATTATACCTGGCCTGTACAGCTCTTCACCCTTCTACAAATTCTGCTAACTGATTCCCAAAAAAAACCTAGAGTGCAATTTTGGCGTCTTGAAAAATGATATGTTACTTAAAGTATAGCTCTGCTCATTACACAGTTTGTCTTTCATGTCTTAAATTTAGTCTGCACTGTGCCAAGCTGAATGTACGTTGAAAAAAATCTTAGTTCAAATTTTCTAGCTTAATTTGTGTACATCTTGTCTTAGGGAATGTGCAACAGTGTTTAAGTATACTTTCATTTTTATCACTTCACATAACACTACGTGTCCCACTGAATTAGAATGGCACTCTACATTACAGTTTTCTTCTGGAATGCTACATAGAGCATTGGAACTAAATTTATTTGTACAGTGTAAGAATACTGAAGTGTGCTTACGACAACTGCCATAAGGCACTGCAATCGCTGCACCACAGAACTAAAGAGTTCAATATGAACAAGGCTGTTTAACTGTTATCTGAATAAATGCCCGTTTATTGGGTAATTTAGAATTAAATATTGTACAGTAATAAGAGTAAACCTAAGTTTACAAAAAAGACTTTGGCAATGGATTATCCCATCTGTCCTGTTCTTGATTCTACACACAGTACAGTCTGGTGGAGTGAAAACATTCTGCTTCATTCTGATGAGCCTGTCTATCCATTTGTCTGTATCTGTGACGGTTCACTTTTGCTATTTTATAATAGTGAAATGAGCGCAATCTAAAATTTAACCTGATATTCCACTACATACACAGTACTGGAATTTTTGGCTAAAACTTTAACTTTCAATTAAAAAGAAAAAATTTTTCAGCAACTGGCCAATGAATTCAGATTCACTAATAAAGGATACAACTTTTTAAAACTGATGTATCTGGAAATCCCAGAGATGTGTTTAAAAAAAATAATAAAATGAATAAAGTGCTACCCTGAATTGTATTTGTAACCTGTTTGTAAGTAGGTATATGAAATGTCCAAAGTAGTAGTTGTTGAATATTTTTCTTCTCTTTGCAATAAAGTCCTGTAAAGTGGCTAACAAAATGAAATGGGGTTTTTTTTGTTGTTTTTGAGCTCCAGTACTCCCACTGAGCTGAATCTGGGTTTTAAAATTTTATAGTATAATTTGCCTAACTTATTCATAGAGTTTAGCCACTATAATTTTTAGAACAGCCTTCTTCTGGATAGAAATTAGTTACCAGGTCTTTGAGAAAGAAGGAACTTAATATTACTGAAAGAATTCAGTTAGCTTTCCAGGCCTAGTTGGTACCATTTTGTGTGCTGGCTTGAATTTTTTGCTGGGTATTCATCAGTTATTTGTGGAAACAGTAGAGACTCTATGACTGTTCAGACAGTAAATCACTTTCAACTTTTATATTATAAATAGACAAAATTATTTATATTAGGATGGATTGTAGTCAGATTTTAGACCTTGAACCACTTTTTTCTATATCTACAGTAGTCTGAATTTTTAATAGTTTGATTTTTAAAGGTTGAGTGTATCAGTCGGAAATCTCACTATTTTTGAATTTTCAGCTTTTAAGACGGTTTTGTTCATTAAGGCTGCCAAACACTCCAAACTTGCAGTTGTTTTAGAGCACGATTGAAGACAGCATACTGAGGAAAGAAAAATAAAGGAACAGCAAACTATTTCTAATGAAATTTCTCATAATGGAAACAGCACTGTCCGTTATCTTTCTCAATGTTAACTACAGGTTTTCAGACCTTCATTTGTTAATACGCAATCATAAACACAAAAAAACCACTTTCTTTAAAGTACATTCAAATGAAGCAGGATTTTTTTCTCATGCCTGTGAATGGGGGTTTCATTCCTGTAGGTAATTATTATGGGTTTTGGTGCTGAAAATTGCTGTGTTTAAAAAAAAAAAAAAAAAAAAAAAAATGGTAACTAGCCTGTAGCTCAGTGTACATCACCTTTTTATATTTAAACTTTTTTTTATTTTAAACCTTTTATGAAGTTTACCAAGAACTGCCTCTTAAAATGTAAAGAAAAAAAAAAAACCACAAACAAACAACAAAACTTTTTTTTTGTTTTCTGGTTTGACTGTCATAGGTCAGCCAGACAGGACAATTACTGTTTTTTGTAAATTAAAATACTCAGTCTATACGGGAAATATTCAACACTGCTGTTTCAACTTGCAGTCTTTGAATGGCTCTTATTTTATGTTCCTCTAGATCATATTTTTTTAAAAGATGGTTTAGGATAGGAACTTGGTGAAATAATATTTATTTCTGGTGAACAACTAAATTATTTACATAACTTAAATGCTGACTCACTACTGTGTGTAACTCTAAATTTGACATGAGAGGACAAGTCTACCTGTGGAATATGATTTAACTTCAGTACACTTAAGATGCATTAAAACAATTGGTTTGGGGAAGACGCCATATAGTTTTAACTTACCTGCATGCTGTAAATGTATTTGTGTTTAAATAAAGAGAAGAAAAGTCTTTGAACTTCGTGTATTTATTCAGTCTCTACATCTGTTTGTTAAATTGTCTCCATCTAACATTTTTTCACTTGATAGGTTTCATGACCAGTTATCTCTGTGAATCATGATCATGCGATGTCTCTAACCTCTTACTCCAGTGTTTGTTAATACGAGTAAGATTTCCCACACACAAATGTGAATATTTAAGTCTTAGTCTTCAAAAGACTGTTCATGATAGAAAAAACACACAAACAAAAAAAGCCCAAACCGAACAAAAAAAAAAAACCCCAACAGTTGATGCCTGTGGAAATGATCAGAAATTGATTACAGCCACAGTGTATCAGAATTTGAACCCCTTCAATCTGGGATTGCTTTGACCTCTCCTAAAGGCTTACGCTCTGTGTAGTTCATAACTATGCCAACTTATACCCATTTTTAATGGCTTCTCTTAGTTCTGTATGTTTTGGTTTGTTTTTTAAACATCCACTTCCACCCTATCTTGGGTACAGTAAGTGACACACTTGAAAGAATTCTCCCTTGCCATAGGGCGAGATGTGGGCATTCTTTCTCTCAAAGGAGAGATTTCCTCTTTTGCTCAAAGCAGCTGTTTTGTTTCCAGTGCACTGATCTCTTAGTATTCAGCTGCTTTTCAAAAACAGACCTGAAAAACCAACCCCAAAACCCTCATCAACAAACCCAACCTTCCTCTCCTTGAGCTATGTTTACATGTAGTTGTTTCTTAGCTGTAATCAGGAGTTAGGTATGTAAGACTATTGCTACATCAAAGGTTTGTTTTTGGTTTTGTTTTTGTTTTTTTAAATGTTTGCATTCTAGAGTAAGTTGAAGCCAGGTTAGAGACAACAATGCTTTCTTCTTTCCAGGAGCAGAAGGAAATCTAAGAACTAGAGGAGATGGCCTTAATTCAGGTCTACTGGCAATCAAGGAACCATAGATGCACTTACATTGCACACTTAGTCTTTAAAAGGAAACTTTGAAATGAAACAATGTAGAAGCTGATCAAGGGTTTGGGTGCATGATATGCATTTGATTGAGTTCCTGAGCAACTTTAAGTTCAATTTTGAAGACTTTTTAAGATGACAATGCATTTTATCTGTTTTGGGATGCATGAAACAATGGGTGCTTGCTTGCAGCGGCTCAGCCTGCAGTTTACAAATTCTCAAAACTGCCAATTCATCTGTAGCACCTGATGCCTACTGTATTTTCAGCTTGAGCTGTAGCTGCTTGTGCTTTATGTATTCCTGGTTATTCACTTCCTGGAGGGAAGTGAAATGGGGATCTGTTCTGCCAGTCTGACAGAACAAATGGTTGGTTTGGTTCAGACCAAGAGCTCATCTAGCTAAATCTGTCTCCAGAGGTGCCAGATCTATGGGTTGCCCACAAAATGAGTCAAATGTGATGATTCCTCTCAATAGCCTTCTCTAGATGAGTCACCTCAGGAGCTTTCCCGAGTATGATGTGAGTTGTCTGTATGGTGATGCTCAAAGTTCTCCTTTTATCCACAGGCTTGGACAGTTGTCTTTGGAATCCATGTAAACTTGTCTTGGTTTTGGTTGGAGAGGAATTCCTATGAGTTACTACTTGTTTCATGAACCTCTCATTTTTTGAACTTGGCTTCTTGTTTCAGAGAGATTAATCCCTTTCCAACATTTCTGTACCACCTGGACTTTTGTAGACCTTTTCTCTCTCTCTTTCTCAAGACCAATTTTCCTTTCCCAGTAATCTCTGACAGCTGACTCTGCTTTTTCTGAGTGCTATTGAACTGATATTTTTTATGGAGCAATCTAGTTATGTGAGGCTGCAATCTTTTTCTGGATAATTTTCTCAGAAAAAGATTCAGCTAAATTTATAGAGTTTTGATATATAAATATATATACATAAAAGCATAAAGAAGGTCTGCCAGTACAGTTACATAAAAGACAAGATCTCGGGAGGAAGAAATTGCATCTGTAAAACTGCTCAATAATGAGCTAATCTGATACTATAAAATATTTCATAGTGTATCCTGTTAACGGGAGATGGCTCAGTCACACTGGTGAAATGCTTGCATTTGAATAGATTTGTGTCTCTACTAGGGGATGACCAACTCAAACCCTTTTAACTGCAGTGAAGGACTAAGGGATGCTCAAAAAGGAAAGTACATCTCCTTTCACTCTGAAGTTTCTTATGAGCAATAGCATGACCTGAAATTACTTCTGAAATTAAGAAAAAAATATTACATCTCTGACAAGGAAAAACTGCAGCTACCTGCACTGACAACCCACAAACTGCTAAGGAATTCATTGACAGAACAAGTTTGTTCTGCTGACTGACTTGGGGTGGCTTCCCTCTTGAATGGACCAAGAAGTTTTAACACCAATTTAGGAAGTGTCAAAACGCGTCACAATATTTAGCATGTGCTATGTGCAAAACTGTTGCAAGTCACTTAAGTACATAACATAACCTTGCTAAATGACACAGAAAACACGTCTAGAAGATGATTACTGAAGACTGATGGGTACGTCAGAATTTTTGCCTGTGGAGTTTCGAGCTGATGAATCTTTCTGAACTCCCTACAGGACTGTTCATCATTTTGTCTTTAACCAGTGCTTGCTGGGGGGAATGACAAGTGAAGTTGGGACCCGGCAGGGAGCGTAGGTTGAGCTGCTAACTGCCTTTAGTGTTTCATTATAAAAGTTGAAGGTGCAGAGGGTATCAGTCAGCTAGGCTATCCAGTGTAATGGGGAGAGGAAGAGTTACCTGAAGAAGAAAGATACAATCCAAAAGAGAAGAAGAAGAAAAATGAGACTATTGTAAAAGAGCGTATTTGGCTTATTTACCTTTGAAAAGGAAAATGAGAGGCTAATGACTATAAAGGGGAAAGAAAGGGGTGTTGCATAGCATGGTGTGGCATATCTGCACCCCGGATACCTTGTACGTGTACGTTTCAACAGCATACTCGCTGTAGGGTCTGTTGTGCTCTACACAGTGTAGGCATACCGGTATTGCTGATGGATTCATCAACTGTCTTCTCCACCTAAGGTACCAAGGGAAGTGTTGATACCTACCTCCAGCCAAGTAAGGAGAGCAGCATAACCCACATTCTCCACATTCCTAAACACACAAAACCAGGTGTGGAAATGACTCGGAGGTGCCCCCAGGTATGTGTTTCAGAGAGCTACTTTCACAGCGCCTGCTGTGAATAACGAGTGCGAGTCCCCATCCTGTTCCGAAAGCCAGCTCAAATTTTCTCCTGCAACCGGAGATGAATACACTTCACAGCTGATACCACCATACTGGAGATACCTGTGAAGCCACTTGCTGTTCAAGTGGATACTTGATTTGGCTTTGTCAGCAGCAGCGTTAAAAAGTGTGTTAAAAAGTAAATTAGCTTAGCAAAGTGTAAATGTCTGCTTACTGCCTCCATCAACAGGTCGGTTCTGATCAGCCCGGGGCGGGGGCGGGGGTTGTGCTACAACAGGTGTTTTACATGATCATTCAACATCCCATTAACAAGCAGGTATTTGCAGAGTATTTTGTGCTGTTTTTCTTCTGAGAGGGTGTAAATGATTCTTTAAATGCTTTTACTGCAAG